GAGGCTCGCCGAGCCATTTATCTCTCTGCCCTTCAGTTAATCCCACTTGTGTTTATCGGCCAGGCTGGGACAATAAACTATCTCAGCAACTGATGCGTCTACCCCTCTTTCTCGACTTGCTTCCCATGTCAGAGTCTGACCAACACCCCGCCCCCCCCAGGGGATTGCCCCGAGAGCAGATGGAAGTGTTGTTATGAGGTCAGACCACAGCAGTGACCTTTGAGTCAATTCTGAGTCCTGGCGACCCCATGTGTCTGAAGACCACTGTGAGCCACTGGGTTTCCAATGGCTGCTTGCCATCAGTAACCAGGCCTTTCTTTTGAGGCCTTTCTGTGTGGACTTGAACTTCCAGCCTCCAGTTAGTAGCTGAGCACCCTAACCATTTGCACCACTCCAGGGACTCGAGGCTCCAGGAAGCGAGGTTATTAGGAGAAACTATGAAATTAAACGCATGGCACGTGGTGCCCCATCCGCAGGGAGCTCGTCCCCGAGGGTGGCAATCTTACACAAATGGGTTCAAGTTCCTCACTAAAAAGAGGAGTCCCTGGATGATGCCAGGGGCCCTGGTGGCATTGTGGGTTCTTCAGGAGGCTGCTAACCACACGTCGGAGGGGTCATGCCCACCAGCCGACCCTCAGGAGACAGGAGACTGTCTGCTCCTATCAAGATACCAGAAGAACAAACAGCTCTATGTTGAAAGAAGATAAAAATCAGGAGCTGATACCAAGGGCTCAAGCAGAAAGTAAATGTTTTGAGAACGATGGTGGCAACAAATGTACAAATGTGCTTGACACATGGATGGATGGATTGTGATAAGAGTTGTATGAGCCCCCAATAAAATGTTTTTAAAAAAAGTACAGCCAGAATGTTCCTTAGAAGCCAGGATAGTGAGACCTCATCCAGGTACTTTGAACGTGTTCTCGGGAGAGACCAGTCCCTGGAGAAGGACATCTGCTTGGTAAGGTAGAGAAGCAGTGGGGGAAAAAAGGGGGGGGGGGGGGGGGCAAGTTGAAACAGTGGCTGCAACAATGAGCTCAAACACAACAGCAGTCGTGGGGATGGTGTCTCACGCTGTCACACACAGGGCTGTGAGAGTCGACGCTGACTGGCCGGCACCAACCCACAGCAGTCAGAGTGGACTCACTGACGGCGAGCTCAGCTCGGTGTAGCGGGTCTCAATATTTAAATGAGCCTGCGGAAGTTTCCGTGTCCAACGTGATCAGAAGAAACTCAGTCACCCCCAACCACTACCGCCCCCCCCCCCCCACACACACACAGACACGTGCACACGAATTCACCATCCGCACTTCTCAGCACTGCCCGTTTCCACTTCTGGACCTCCTCCACCTCACCTGAGAGAGCCCTTGTCTCTCTGCCCGCCCCACAGTAGAGTGGACTCAGGGTGGAACCCAGAGCCTTTTCCTTCTTGATTTCCCACCAAATGACCAGAAACATAAGGAAGTTATTTGCAGCTGCATTTTGCTGAGCAATTAGAAATACAGCGTAACAAACAACTTAAAATAGAAGATTCGTCATCTTGGCTGGAAAGCCTCCCATCCCCCCCTCTCGAACTCACCTTAGGAAAACTCCTGGGTCTGGTGGGCTGCGAGATGTCAGACTTCTCCTCACCCCCCTGTGCATGAGCATTCCTGTTCTCTCCCCACCGGTTGTTTGTTCAGTTTCTGTTTTTTCACATGGCTCTGGGCACTTTCAGAAAAAGGCTTTTGAATCCAAGTACACTCTGCTAACAAAGAATGAGCTGCTCTGACTCACCACCGAGCAGCAGTATAAGGGTTAGTGCAAACCTTAACTCTCTGATGGGGTCAAGGTTCAAACTGGACTCTCTGCACCCAGGACCTCAGCGTGCCAGCATTGGGCGGGACTTCTGGTGTCTTAGAGATCGGATCAAAGCCTCAAAGTCGAGGATGATAGTTGGCAACTGGCCCCACCTCCTAAGGAAGGTGCTGGACAGACATTTCAAGGATTGGATAAGAGGGTGCTACCCTGGGCAACTTTACCAGCCTTCAGACTCGGAAGAAGAGAGCTAGGCGATCCCTTTGTGCAGCAAACAAGGCAGAAGAGAGGAGTCTAGCGATTCATGGCGTCAGATGCCACCGAGGCCGTGCATAGTGGCCCTGTACATCAGGATGAATCGCTGTGTCATCCTCACAACCGGTGCTGTATTGGAGCCCACTGATGCAGCCACAGTGTCAGCCATCTCGTTGAGGTTGTGTTAGTCCGGGTAGACTAGAGAAACAAATTCATGGACACTCGTGTATGAGAAAGAGCTTTATATACAAGAGCCACTGAATACTGAGAAAACAGCCCAGTCCAGATAAAGTCCCTACGTCCAATATTAGCCCATATGTCCGATACCAATCTATAAAGTCCTCTTCAGACTCAAGAAGCACATGCAGTGGCGCCGAATACAGGAAGATGACAGGCCAGTGGGTGGAAAGTCTTGTGGATCCAGTGGTGGTGGAAGCATCACAACCCGGGCTGGGTCTCCATGTGGCTCCTCCAGCTCCAGGGCTCTAGAGTAGCCCCATGTGTCTTGTTAACAGGAATGTCTCCCAGGGAGGGAGGGGGTGTCCTGCCTCCAGTGAGCTATCTATATACTTAGCAGTTTCAAAGAAGGTCATCAAGCTGCGGCCTGATTGACAGGCTAAACTCCACCCCTTCACTCTTCAGTCTCAAGTTGACAACAGATTATGTAACTAGCAAAATGGCTTCCTCTTTTTGGCTGACCCTCTGTTTTAGCAAGCGTGATGTCCTATAAGGACGGGTCCCTTCTGATAACACGTCCAAGTACACAAGATAACACCTCACCATCTTCACTTCCAAGAAGCATGCTATCCTAGCTGTGTTTATCCCAAGACAGAATTGTTCATTCTTTGACAGCCCATGGTATGTTCAGTAGTCTTTGCCAACAATATAATTCAAAGGCACCAATTCCTCATCAATCTTCCTTTTTTATATTCAAAGGGAAAAAAA